GTTAGTAAGGAATCCAGAAGTTATCAAACAAAGCAAGATGGGCTTTTTTTTTTTTAAGGACAACCTAGCACATGCAAATTAATACCTATAGGATTTTGCTTTTTTTTTCTTACAACTAACAAACATAGAAGGGTGATTTTCTGCACACTTGAGAGACACAGTTTGCTACACTAAATGAATGTGGATGGACTTTCAAATAAATTGAGGACTACAACAAAACTGTAAGAAAATTCAGCTTCAATATAGGGATATTCCTAAACAAAAATTCTAGTATTCTAGCAGACAGTACATTGATTAGTCAAATAATCCACTTATTTCCACTACTGTTAAGTACTAAAGGAGAAAATCCAGACTTACAAACAGCATAGGCTAAAAAAATTTGAACTCAAGTACTGCAAACCATTGAGATTTTCTCTCACAGATGATTCTGTGGCAGTAGCAGTTAACTTTAATAGCTTCTGAATATTTCCTCTTTTATTACATCTTTTATTACAAAGAAGAGAACTAGTAAAATAATTAGGCAATTCATTCCTTTTCTGGCTACCCTACAAAAATATTTCAGGAAATTCCCAGTAGATTCATATTGTTCCTTTTGAAAGAGAAAAGCAATTAGTAATGAAAATGTTAGTTTTAAGAAGTATCATTATGATCTTATTCTCCTAATTTCTGGTATGAATAGCTCATCTTTTGAACACAGTAAAAAGCTTTTCATAATGAAATTACAGTCTAAAAATTACCTGTTTGAAAACAAATAGGTAAGGAACATGTAGTTCAGGATAACATTTGTAGTATGGGCAAAGACAGTTGGGAAAGAGCTTAGAACCAAGTTAAATAAACAATCATAAAAATGAATTAAAATGCCTTTTATGGGTTGACATATGAGTTGATGCAGTATGGGGCTGCCAGAGATATATTTTGAAAGATAGGTACAAAATGTGATAGTTCTGGGAGTCTTCAATTAACCCAATAGCCTATACACCCCAAAAAAAAAAAAACAAAACTGACAGAAAGACATAGCATGTGAGCTGAATTTTGGATACTAGATAGACAGTTGTTTAGGATGCTCACAAGAAAAGATGAAGTTCTTGACTTGGTCAAGACAGTTTAACATCTTGCAGCTGAGAAGCCACTCAGAGAGAGATCATTCTGTCCTTAAATCCAACATCCCCACAGAAGGTAGAACATCTACCAGTTATGAGACACTTAGAAAGACAAAATATATACGGGAAAAAATCAAAAAGTTTCTTTAAAGCTAAGAGTAAAGTCCTCATAGACAGTAGGGAAACCAATTGTTGGAAGTAGATGATGAAAGCACAGAGTCAAGGCAGTGTGCTAAGAAAAGGTTAAGAGTTAACAAAGAACAGTAATAAAAAATACTTTTTCTGAAAATTGAAATTGTCTTCAAATGAAGAAAATAAAGGAACAGAAATTCTGACAGGTTAAACATAATAAGACAAGACAGCATAATATGATTCTAATGGACAAATAGCCAAAAGTATCAAAGCAAACAAGAAATATTTCTCCAAATGCATCAGGAGCAAGAATCTGTCTGAAGAGTTTGTAAAGCCACTGAGTGATCAGGACAGAAAGGGATTCATTGAAAAGAAACCAGATTAATCCTTCATGAAAATTTTTACTATTTCATGGGAAATTCCCATGCCAAGAACTCACTGAGGGAGTCTCAGCAGAGGATCTGCCTGAAATTGGAGTGAATAGGTCATGAAACAAACTGACAAAACAAACAGTAGCAAATTGAAGGTCAGATGGTATTTGTTCAATAGTTCTGACAAACTAAGAAATGCACAGCTTAAAACTGATGTAGTACCTGAAAACTATAAGACATTGAATAAAATGCCAGTTCTAGGGAGATCTAGAAGACTACAAAGCAGCAAGCCAGACAGTCTTATCGGGCAAATTACTGGAGCCTAAAAGACAGAACAGAATTAGTGGACTCTGACATAATATGAACTAGTTATCCAGAAGGTTTCTGTATAGATAAGTACTTTCCTAAATAGGAGGTCAAATTTAGAAATAAATGGTAAATTCTTCCACTTCAAGGTGTCCACCAGTGAGGTTCTAATTCTGTATTCCACTCGGTTTAATATGTACAAAAATTACTTGAAACACGAAGCGAACAGGGTAATCAATTTTGGCAACAATAAAAAATTATGCAATTTTGCAGTGCAAATTTGGCAATATGACAATAAGACCGAAGTGCAATAAGAGAGAACTTTAGAAGGATGCCTGAAAAAGCAGGACACAAAGTGGGAGATTAAATTCCCTGTACATAAGCAGGTGATCCTCACAGAGCAAAACCAATACCAACTTCATATACCCTTAAACAGCCTGGAAACTCTTTCATGAGTTGCATATTTTTTCCCAGAAACTTAAGGCTGACAGGTCTGTAGCTTCCTTGTTCTGCCTTTCTGCCCTTCTGTAGATGGCTGAAATATTTGGGGTTTTGCAGATATATAGGATTTCCCCTTACTTCCTTCAAAGATGTAAAGGAGGAGTTTTGTTATGATGTCAGACAACTCAGCATCCTCAGTTGCACCCTAGCAGGTCACATGGGAGCTGTACCTGTCCAGTTGGTACAGATGGTCCCTCACTTGACCCTTCTGTACCATCAATAGTTTGCCATTTGCTTTGCTGTTGCTTCTTGTCACAGAGTTTTGGGGTCTGACATTACTTGTGAAGATGGGCTGAGCACCTCAGCCTTTCCTGTGCCATTCTTGATGAACTTGCTGGCATCAAGATCTACATCTTTCTTGTACTTCCACTTACTGCTAATACGCTTGCAGAAACTTTTATGTTTTTCTTGTTATCTCTTGCTACTTTAAGTTCCAGCTGAGCTTTTGCCTTTCTAATTGCATCTCTGCACACTGAAGCAGTACTTCTATATTCCTCTTTGTGACTTTGTCCCCTTTTGCACTGCTCTAGTGCTCCTTTTCTCATTTGAGCTCTCTTAGTAGCTTGGTGCTTTTCCAACTGATTTCTTTTTATGTCTGCTCCTTTTCCTGCTTAGGGGGATAGACTGCCCTTGTGCTTCAAGAAGCAGCTGTACTGGGAAATCTACCAAAATTCCTCAGTTTCTTTGCCCTGTAAGACAGGTTCCCACTGGATCCTTCGTAGCAGTTCCCTGAATGAGTTGAAATCTCCTGTTCTGAACTCCAGGTCTTTATATGATCACTTGTCCCCCTCAAGCCCTTGGCCTCAATGCTCCTACAGTCTCTGCAGATGCTGTTGATATTCATGTCTTCAAACAGTGTTTATTAATAAGCATTCAGTCCAGAAGAACACTGTTGCTAGTTGGCCCATCCAAGACCACATGAGGAAGCTGTCCCCAGCGCACCCTGGAAATGTCCCAAATTGCTTATTCACCACTATGTTGCTTTCCTAGTAAGTATCAGTATCAGTAAGTATCTCTCCCTTTTGAGAACCAGAGCCTGAGGTCTCTTGGAGGTGTAGGCTTCATCCACCTCTTCCTCCTGATCCTGGTCTGAGAGCAGGCACCATGAGATCTCTCTCAGTGGCTCTGATTTTGACCCAGAAGCACTCTACGGACTTGAAAACAGGTAAAAGAAGATGGTTCTTTATGTGACAGGCATGTTTTTGATGGTTACTAAATTCCTCATAACTTCGCTGGGTCATGGAAATCTGGAAACAAGTGGCTTTTGAGTATTAGAAGACTACCATATATTCTGGCCGTGATCTTACTCTTTAGTCATTATATACTTATGTGCAGTGCAGACAATTTGTCTGACGAACAATGGTCATTTTTACTAGCTAAACATACATTTATTACCACAAAAAAGATACTAGAAAACATAGTGCATCAGGTTTTTCTACGTAAAAACAGATTTCCATCCATAAAATATCCACATTGGGAAACCAGGTAATTCTTTCAATAAAACACAAAATAGTTTTGCTATTGGGTTCTCAAACAAACAAAAAGACTTTAGATTTGTACTACTCATTGTAAAAAAAACAATTAATGGAACAGAAGAATTATATATACTGGACTGGATTTGTGGTTATGGCTCTGTGAGATCAAACACACAAGCAATGCTTACTGCACTCCAGAATTACTGTGCCTCACTGAGACAATTGTGCTGCTTCCACTGTTACAGAATAGATTTCAGTTCCAAGACTAGTCAGGTGCCACCAAAATGCTGCTCAGGAAACTGTCAATAGACTAAGATGGACCAATGTATCTCTACAGGGATGTTCCTTACAGGAGCAATATCAAAATTATTGCTATGATCTAATTACAAAATAAGAGAGCTATAGGAATCGTTACTTTGATTCAATCAGGGGAAAGAAAAAAAGAGAGAAGAGAGAGTAAAAATAATGAATGAGTCAATTTGTTGCATTACTTCAACCAGGATATTTCATTGACAGTACTAAGAAAGTCATCTGAAATTCAAGTTTTTACTACAGCAAAATACAGCAATCAAAATTGTACCTATTTCTGTGGGATGAACACAGGAACCTTCTAGCAGTGTTGATAACCCAAATGGTTTTGTCCAAGACCTGTCTCATACAATTCACATCACTAAAGCCCACTAATCCCAAATGCAGAACAAGCAGGTAGGAGTTGCAGCTCCCTTTTCAGAAAAAAAAGATGGTTCATGATGTCACAGTATAGAAAAGAAAAGGCAAAGTAAATAAAAACAAGCCACGCATGCTGAATTTTAAACCTAGTGTTTTAAGTGAATTTAATGGCAGAGAGGGGATTAAAATTCATTTCCAGACATGGTTTCTGAGCTGTGGTTTAGAGCCATAGATATACGACCCCCTGCCCCCCATCTTAAACCTGACATCTCTTCCTGCAGTGGGAACTTGGACTGGGTAAAATGAGGGCTCTCTCCTCCCCACACCTGGCAGCAGCTGAATGCTACACACATTTGCTCTTCTGTGACTCCAGGCACCGTTTCCATGGCAGCACAAGGAAAACCATTCCAAACTGGTCAGGGAAGAATGCAATGAGAATCAGCCCTCCAGCAAAGCTCCCTCTCACCTCCCTGGACAAGACACTGACCATACAGCCTGGGAGCAACTGAGGGTACAGGTAGCACCATGCAGTGTGGAAACCTCCCTTTGTGTCTGACAGGAGTAGCTGTGGTTCAAGCCCATGTGATACAGTGGATCAAGTGCCCAGATGTGCTGGTAAGTGCAAGAAGATCTGTGATGGCCGGCAAATGCTTGGCTCTCCTCCCCTCCAAGAGTACATTGCCTGTGACTGTATAGCAGATTCTGGCTCTTCCCTGGTAAGGGGAAGTAGAGGTGTGTACTTGCCATGAACTGAAGCAGCACAAGGGGACCTTGTTACTACTTCAAAAATTAGAAAGACCAAACCCGTTGTACCAAAGTTTTAACTGTATTTTTCAGCATATCAGAACTCTGTATGTGTTGGGATTATTTTGTCAAAGCCATATGATTTGCATAGCCAAATATCTCAAAGACAGAAATGACACGAGATGTGACACTTCTGAATGATCTTCACTAGCCTGACATAATCTGGAATTGCAATCTATGACTGCACAATGTAACCAAGATGCAAAATTACTCTGTCTGCTTCCAATCCCCAACCTGCTCACAAACCAGGATGCAAGGCATCAGCACTAGATATAGGCCCTAAACACACATGGCAGGCATCTTTACAGGATCACAGAAGGGTGGAGGTTGGCAGGGGCCTCTGGAGGTCACCTTGTCCAACTTATACAGGGACACCCTGAGCCAGTTGTCCAGGGCCATAATATCCAGGCAGCTTTTGAATATCTGTGCCACTGTTTGGTCACTCTCACATTAACAGTGCATTTCCTCATGTTCATAAAGCACTTCCTGTGTTTCAGTTTGTGTCCATTGCCTCTGGTCCTGTCCCTGGGCACCACTGAAAAGAATCTGACTCCCTCTTTACACCCTCCATTCAGGTGTTTGCACATATTCATGAGTTCCACCCAGAGCCCTCTTTTCTCCAGGCTGAACAGTCTCAGCCTTTCCTCATAGGACAGATGCTCCTGTCCCTTCATCATCTTAGTGGTCCTTTGCTGGATACCCTCCAATAAGTCCATATCTGTCTTGATTTAAGAAGTCCAGAACTGGACCCAGTGCTCTAGATGTGAGTAGAGGTGCTGAGGAGAGGTGAATGATCACCTACTTCGACCTGCTGGCAACACTCCTCCTAAGGCAGCCAATGACACTGCTTTCCTTCTTTGCCATGAGGGCACATTTCTGGCTCATGTTCAACCTGGTGTCCACTAGGACTTCATAGGGCCTTTTTGGCAAAGCTGCTTGCCAGCTGGGTGGCTCCCAGCATGTACTGGTGCATGGAGTTAAGGGGCATACTCCTGTCTGAAACTATCATTATCAAGGTTACTGAGGCAAACACGTCACCCCAGAAGCAGAATAATTTGACCAGACAGTTCTCATGCACACAGTACTAGGTAACTTTCTGTGCCATTAAAATTACTCTCCCCCCAGAACGCCTCTGCAGTAAAAGAGAGATTTTCCAGTTTTCTCATTCTGTCTATTGTGAGAGGTGTACCTTCTTCCTTGTGAGCCTGAGGGCTAGGAATGGATAGGATGTTCAATTATTTCAAAGTTATATGGGAGAATATTATTTTATTTTTTTAATTGATCATAGATGGTCCATCTTGTCTTATCTTGCAAAGTTCACCCCTTTCTGTTCGCAGATTTTCAACAATAGCCTATCCCATGCAAAACACTAACGTTCTCTACTCTACCTGAGAAGTTACACTGGATGTAGTCCTGCAAAGCTTCTTTGCTGAATAAGCCTGGCTCCTTTGATTCAGATCCTTTCGAGGAGAGTCTAAGCAGACTGGAATACACAAGTACCAGAAACATTTGTAATGCTAAACTGTAAGAATAGAAGAAAAGCTACTTAATTTTCTGGGCCTGTTCTGTTGTCTATTCTTTGCGTATTTTACATTATCCAATCATGTGACAATCAAAATATGACATCAAACTGATTATTTAGTAAGTGCTGGAAATTTATTGAGCAATTTCCTCTTTGGCTTAAAAAGAAAGAGTACATATGTAGTGTACAAAAGTCAGGATTTTAAGCCAAATTTCACCTCTACTGAAGCTTTCTTATTATTGTTACTTTCCCATCCCTAAAGCTTGATTTCGATTTGGTAAAGACTGATTTTTCTTATTACAGGCTGGCAAAGTGTATATCCTTTCCAAAGGCAAAGTCAGTGGAATCAGAATGAAAGAAATAATTTAATGGGATGTACTCACTGTAGTCACTCTATTTCATTTCCTCAAACAAGAGACTTCTTTGACCAAGACAGACATTTCTCTGGCTCATGTCCATTGCAGAGCAAAGTCAGAAAGAGAGAGACAGAGGGAAAGAAATACAGCATTGCTTCCCTTGAATAAATTCATGAAAAGTGGGCAGAGACCTTGCAACAATGTTTGGGATTGCTCTGACAGCATCATCAGAATATAAAGTGTCTCCAACCACTTTTCACATCTTTTTTTTGGAAGAGCAAACCCTCCAACAGCGTAATGAAAATTTAACCCTTATAAATCAGTTCCCTTCCCTTTAAGCAGCTTTGTGAACACACTGCAAACAGTTCCCACCTTTTGTTCTTCCACCTTGTGTTTGACACAAGAGAGGCTCAGGAAGCCCTTTTAGTTTCAGTACTTGCATAAGGTACAGTCTCTACAGCCAACCCTAATTGTTTTATGAAGTTTGACAACTTGATTATTGTCAAGGCTGGACAGAGGGGACCATAACCTCCTGGAGATATGCTGAAGTTGATACTTTTATTTTTTTTTGTAGAATTTTACTTTCCTAAATTTACAGACCATATCTCTCAATCCACTGACAGAGGTTTTGTACCTGTTAGCAAATTTTATGAACACCACTGCTTTGGGTACGTTTGGTACCATGCTTACCTATCACTTTTCCAGGAAGACAGGATGACAGGCATCCCCATAGACACTAAGTACACATGGATCTGGGTACAGGACTTCATGTAAATAACTTGTAACCACATTTTCCCTACAAAAATATTCTATACTTAGAATCTCACTAAAATGGAGACTACAAAATTACTTACAGTGAAACAAGCTTAAGCTTGAGAAGCAGTCATGTGAAAAATAACTCTAAAATTAATGGTTAGCTCAAGAACTATGTGACCTAAATTATAATTTAAAATATTTCTAAATGAGAAAGCTTTGGATAATTCAGACACCATGGCATTGTAACAACTGAAAATGCAAACTTTCTAATGATGACTGTATGCAAATGATCTAATTACAAACATCAACACAAAATGACTTGTTGAAAAACAGGGGGAAACATTTTGAGCAGCTTAGGAAGAAGAAAAAATTATGCTTTGAAAATATTACTATGTATATGGAATAATGAGGCCTCATAATAAATGCTGGATCTTATTTACTAAATTTTTATTGTTTGATTCAGATTTTAATTTCATGCTGCATTAAATGAATAGCAGATAAACCCCCTTTTCTTTAAATGATCACATCAGCTTCAAAATTATAGTTTGATACATTTTTGAATTAATCTTACAAAGCACTGAATTTAAATTTGCAAGCTGTGATGATCCAGAATTTTAAGGAGTTCTAGCAGTGGGAATGCAAAGAGACTGGAGCAGATAATAGACAGAGAATGCTCTACTCATGACAACAGGCTGTCCTGATTACATGATAGCTGGATACACCACCATTTTCACTTATACATAAATGGATTCAAAGAACAATGACTCACAATTTAACAATCTGACTAAATATTTTTAATAATTATTGATACATTTTAATATTCCATATATCAAGTTTAGTCAATGTTCTATTTCAGCAATTTCAGGATTAAATAAACTTCTGGCACAATAGAAAACAAAAACCAAAAAGTAAGAATTATTCAGTTAGATAAAGCTAGAGGGTCTTTTTTTTCTAAGGGTGAGATTTCAGAAGTGTGTAATTTATCTTCTTTCTGTCTGTGAAGGTCTGAAGTATCCAGACTCACCGCAAAAATACCCTGCTGTACGTCAAAGCCATAAAGCCATTCATCCCACTGCAGCCAAACCTAACACTTCAATACTTTTGGAAAGAAAGATTAAAAAGAGAAAAGAAAAAGAAAAGAAAAAAACCCCGCAGCTAAGACTGCAAAAAGACTGCAACAGGTGAACTGTTTTGCAAGATTAGCAGCTGCCATAAAATCCTTCTCTGTAAGAGAGAAACCCACAACGTGATAGTAGATAAACTCCATTACAGTGAATTTAAGTACCTGTAACCATGTAGACAGAATAAGCCAACCATCTGCCCATGTGTTTTTCTATACTTTGTTGATGTTACTATCATCTGGACACATTATCGACATTCCCCCTGAAACCACATATTGCAATTTCCATCAACTGGTATTACACCTGCTGAAGAGGGCAGAACTGATCGACTACAGTTTCTACTGCTGTTGAGCTCAGCCAACAAGCTGTTCATGAATCCTGCTCATGTTTTGGTAAATTGAGCCACAGTGATTTTTTTTTTTAAACTGATTTTCTTTCAAAATCACTTTTCAAACTAATTAAAGAAAATTTAATTTTTTTCACAGTTATATTGTGCTTTATTGGTGTGTGTTTCAAGACTTCAAGTAAGATCAGCATGAGGTCAATGAACATTATTTCCATTATATATATATATAAAAAAATATTATGTCATGACAAAAAGGTGTCCTGAAGCAATAAGGACAGTACTACCAAACAGTAATGACTGGGCTCCCATCCCAAGAAACACTGGAGATCAATCCCTTTACAATGTTTGTATTTAATTTTCTCCAAATTCCCTTCCAAGATATATTGATTTTTAGATGGAAGAATGTATTTTTTTTTTAATAAACCTACTCTGTCATTCAGAAAAGTCAATCAGAAAATGCAAAGTCCCCATACTGGCTGTCTCAAATCTACATCTGATTTCTCCCCACAGATAATCAAATGGCTAATTTTTCTTTTAAAGTATTCCACGAACATTAAAAATAAAAGTTTAAAGGAAGGAAAGAGAGGAATCTGTACAAGTAGATTGTGTAAGAGCTTGGAGAATGTACCGAATAGGAATTTCACTGTTTTTATGGATAGCTGTTTTTCAAGAGTCAGTATTAACTCAAGCTTAGGTTCTGTCTCTTTCCTGTCTTTAAAATGTAAAGATAGGGCCAGGAGGCCCTGGCACGATAACAAGTTTAATCATAAAGCCTTTTAGAGTTTGTCCAAATAGATATTCAGAGTCTATCTGGAGGTCACAGTTAACCAGGCAGTTTCTCTGTCTGCTCTATCCTGCAGCCATGCCACAGCCATCCCTATTGTATGACTTACTAACAGAAGGAATTTAATTCCAGAGAACAGTGTCTGAACACCTCGCCTTTACATTTATCCAAGATCATTTCCATTTTAAGGCATGATAATACAGATGCTAAAGAACTAAAAATAAGAATAGGAAACAGTTAAGATTATTATTGCTGTCAGACTTTCTGAGTTGAAGCCATGCAGTAGCCCCGTGACTTCTGAACACACAGAAGGAAACAGGGCACAGACATACTGACAGTGAAATAATGTCACAGATTTTCAGTATGCAGAACAGTGACTGATAGCAGGCCACTAACTAATAGTAGGATTCAATAATATCTGAAATTTTAAAATAACCAACTAAATCCCATTTTGTTTGGAAAAAACTTGTAAACCCCACTTTAATCTTCATGCTTATACAGACAAAATAAAGCCTTACTCAGGTGGATGCAGGTGCTATTTGTGAATGCATTCCCGTTTAGGAGTTAATGAGTCCTGTTGCATCTAACAGTGCATATACCCAAACTGCTTGAGAACAAATGCAAAAATTCATATAGCATGCTCTTCAGCATGCCCTCTGGTACCCTTAATACACTTTTACTGACTTATATATGGTATGCTGGAGGCAGCCAGTCAGCACTCCAAGTATCTAGCCTGTGAGGGAATCTCACCTGGTTCCCAGAAACACTGGCTGCTTAGCAGACTAATCAAATTTGCCAAGTTGCTTCTGTATTTTATTTTCTAGAAAACCACAGAAGTGCAAACTCAAGACAGGGATGTCAGGATCTTTTAGGTCACATGCTGCAAACTTACTAACCGGGTACCTGAACATCTGGGTAGTAACAGAAATGGCCTCAAGTTGCACTGTAAACTAACTGCTGTCCTCCTCCACTTGTGAGCACTTGCAAGTGATGGGTGGTGGCTTTGTAACTTACTTGGCCGCATATGGGAGCAGGCTTAAAGTCCAAAGTATGTAGAATTTTGATACTACTTAAAACAGTAAGCATCTTATCCTACAAAACACTACCACTTCTGTCTTCATGAGTGAACAGGCAGGAACATGAATAACAAAGGAGCCACAAAGTTATTCCCCTTGTTTTTCCTCAAACATCACCAAGCATGTTCACAAGGCTGAGATGCCCTGTGTCCTTCTAGATGGAAAGGATATAAATATAAATTCATATACTTAGTAGACTATTGGTGTTTCCATATCAGTTCAAGTAACATTTTCTGCAAATAAACACAATTTACAAAAGCACAATTCACATGTGCCCTGAAGCAATGCTATTGTGTCTGTGTGCAAGTCATCACTGACACATGAATAAACTGACAAAATTTTAGAAAAAAATCCTGTTATGATAAATTAAAGAGTCTAAAGATACATGTTTCAGGAAGGTGTTATCACAAGAGCTTATCCATGAAAGGAAATCCTGTAACTTTTAAGGAATGTTTTCAGGTAATCCTGCAAAGAGTGTACTGCCACAGTCCACGGGAAAAAGATGAACTTTCCCCACTCCATTCCACTGGAACCCATGACTGAGATGCATACAAGCATATTGCAAAGGTACTTTGGGTCTCGTTCAACATGTGA